AAGTTGGTTCAAGTCCCGAGGGACTCAATATTAGTATTTCAAGGCGTGATTTCCAAATAGCTGAGGCTGCTCTGTATTAACGATGCACTTCAGACTTTGTGTGCTTTACTCCTTTATTTTTTGGCTGTAGATGTGTAAGTTAAGTTTTAATGAGATCAGCAGCATGCGGGGGCAGCTCCTCCCTTGAGCACTGGTGGGGAGGAGGCCAGTTTACAGGGATCCAGAGCATGGATTGCTCTCTACAATGCCAAAGCTGTAAATACATCCATACCGAGTCCTCGGGAGCTGGGACCAGGAGAGTGGGATGAGCTGTAACAGCCCCCAGGGAACAGCCAGGCACAAACACGGTGGTGTGTGTCACCCGCTGCTGCTGACAGCCACGGCTGGGCTGTGCTCCGGTGGTTTCTCAACGTGTCTGTGTGTGCTGCTGGGTTTATGTCTTCACCTCTCTTGTTTTTCCCACTCATGGGCATGCTGAAGACTCAAATGACACAAACCCCATCAGTGTCTGAGCAGGGTGAGGGGAGCTGGAGCCCACAAAGCCATGAGGTCAGAGGAGCAGCTACCCTGACAAACACTGACATGTCCCTCTGGCAGAGACTGCACCCATGGCTCGAGGGGTCTCCTCTGAGAGAACACCTGAAATCGAGCCTTGCTTGCTGTGTTTTGCTGGGAAGCTCCAGGAAATTGCAAGAGAACTGTTTTGGTAACGGTGATGGGCTTCCCAGCCTTCCCCACATCCTTGGCAGGGCAGGTGCCAGGGTCAGCAGACCTCAGGAGCTGCTGCACAGCCCCACGCTGCTCCCTGCACCCAGCTGGCTGAGCAAAGGCTGCCCTCAACACTTCAGGATTCAGGACTTGCTGCACCAGTGTGTACCAGCTGGTTTGGGGCAACAGAGTAAATAGTTTATTTTTTTTTTGCTCCAAGGGCTTTGCAACCCCATTTTTTAGCACTACCAACACAAAGAGCTGTGAGATGCAGCTGCTGCTGTTCTCCAGGGCTCTGTGCAAAGCCTGTGCCAGCTCCAGAAGGGACACCAAGACAAAGACACCTCTGCCTTGCTCGCTCCACTGCTGGTGGCTGTACTGGCAGAATAAGGGAATCACACACTGTGGCATCTGCTGCCTAAAGTGAAGGTCCAGCCCTGCTCTCACACACCCCCTCTCACAGGTTCCAGAGGAAACCGTGGAGCCCAGCTGAGACATTTTGCAAAGCAGGAGGAATTCAGAGATGAATCTCCAACACATGAGAAAAGAGAATGACCCTGCAGCATCAATCCTTTAGTGAACCATCAGAGAAACAGCAGGGCTGCACCTGCACCAGGCACTCCCAGAGCACAGGAGCAGAGCCAGGCTCCTGCTCCCCACTTTCCTGTCTTTAGGGAATGCAGAGAGTAGATAAGAATACTCTGAAGACTTTTATTATGGAGTTATTCAATACTCTATTTATTATAGAGCTAAAACCCACATTTGACACCTTGGAATGAACTTCTGGTGATTATTTTGGAGAGGCTAGAGACATGGGTGAAAATAAAACAAGCTGAGCTGCCTTTTGCTTTCTTTGTGGTGGGAAAACAGCATTTTAGTAAAAAATTAAAGTTTCAGTGCAAAAAGGAAGTCTTAAATATTTATGTTGCTCTAGGGAAAAACAGAGTGGCTGCTCCCATCAACAATACACTAACAAACTAAATATCTGAAAATCAAGCCTACATTCCACAGAAAGACTACACTGCACAGACAATGACTTGCTGCTCCTCTGCCAAATCCATCTGGAGCATCTATATGAGCTATAAATAGAAGTACAGGGCAGATGGCTCAGCCAGGACCAAATCACCTCCTGAGATGCAGAGCTGGCCAGCTGTGCACAGGGAGACAGGAGCAGGGAAGAACACGCATGGCCACAGGAGCTGGGCAGGAGCCCTGCTGACACATTCCAAAACAGGGTTTAAAAGCCTTTAAAGGACTCAGAGGTTACAGGGTGCTCCATGGAAAGGCCCTTCCTGTGAGATGAAAGTGGCACCAGCTCCTGCTCGCTGCTCTCACCACAGTGGCATTTCAGAAGTGGCTGTCGTTGCACAGAACAAGATATCTGATTGTGGAAGCCTTTAATTAACTAAAACCCAGCCTACCACTGGGAAACTGGTTTCAGAAATTCAAATGGAAACAGTGTTTTTTTAATTATAACCAACACAGCCCCAGTGAGGCGAGGCCAAAGTCTGGGGAACAAGGATTTGGCTGTTTGGGGGTGTTGATGAGTGCTACATTCACATCCTTGGCATCCTGCTTGGCATGCAACTGCAGAGGTTTGGTCAGACTTAAGCCAGGTCTGGCAGCTGAAACTGTCTGAAAAGTAGCAGATTTTCTTTCTGACTGATACACTCACAGGGATGCAGACCACATTGATAATTTCTGGGACAAGATGAACAACTTCACCCCAACCCAGGCCATGAAGCAAGCCCGGTGAAGAGCTCAAGCACTCTTTCCCCCCTGTTCATGAGCTGGCAAGTGGTTTTTCAGTACAGATCTAGAAGTGGAAGCAGAAGCAATAGAAACTCCAAAAGTGGCAACTTTCAGTACACTGCATAGCTCCTACGGGGTTAAGAGCATAAGATGTAATTCTCACTCTTGAGGACATGGCAGGTGATGTCTTATCCCTTCCCTTCTCTCTTTCCATATTCTGGCATGACTGTAACAAATTCCAGGTCTGCAGCAAGAGGCAGGGGTCAGAAGAAAAAGCCTTCAATGGTGAAGGCCACTAAAAGCACACCAGTTTGCCCAAGGTAACTTTGAAGTTCCACTAAAGGTTTTTGAGCCAACATCTGTCAGGAACAATTTTGCTCAAGCTTAGCTTGCCACAGAGTTGGCAGGCTCTGGGTGGGTCTTGGGGCAAAAGCTAGACCCTGCTGAACTATTTTCTGTGCTGCTCTGAAGATCAGCATTGTTACTCACTCATTTTAGAGGGCTAACTACTGTAGTGAAGACAGACATGTCATGTCACAGCCTAACAGTGATACTTGTCAGTATCCTGCATCCTGCTCTCAGGGCAGGGGTCCAAGGAAAACCTTCACTGTCCACATGCTCACACACCAGAACTGGAGCTGGCACTGCTTCCCTAGTATCATCTCTGGAAATAAACAACCTGCTCGAATTTTGAGCTTGGCCCTTCCTTCAGTAGAGGGTGGAAAAGCAGCCTCCAGTTAGCCACAGGGATTAGCTCTGTTGGTTAGAGCAAGGTGCTCATAATGGGTCTGATCCCCTTATGGGCCATTCCCTTAAGTCTTGGGCTCCTGATACTTGTGGCTCCCTTCCAATTCATAATATTCCATGATCCCTTGCAGCTCCATGACCCAAAAAGCCTGTAAATCATTGTTTATCACAAAAACTCACACTCCATGGCAAAGTGCTTTGAGAACGTGTGCCTGTCACTTTTCAGATCTCTTCAATGCAGCTGACATGAGTTCCATGTTGGAACCTTTGATGTGCAGCAGGCATATCAAACACCCCACTTTGTCAGGGTGGAATAGATGACTTGGCTCTTCAGAACACAGCTCAGGCAAACAGCAGGGACCTTCTAGTGCCACACTTAGCAATCTGTGTCAGAACCTGCCTGTGATGCTGTCAGAGGCTGGGTGCTTTCTTCACATCTGAGATCCTCAGAGCTGCCCCAGAGTTTCTATCAAACAAACTTAGTACTTTCATTTTACACCAGAAGCATCACAACTGTCTGGGAAATCTCCCTCCCACACCCCATGTGCCGTATTTTGGGTGGCTTGATGATCTCACCACCACACAGTTACTAAGGTTAAACACTGCTTTTAAAAACTCTCATGTAAGAGCCACTGTTAAGCTCAGGCTCGCTCTGACCAGCTTAACAACAGAAAAATAAAACAGCCAAAAGAAGAGGACCAAAAGGAATTGTCCATCTTTTCTCCCCCATTCCTGTGTTAACCACACACTGCCAGACCTACCTACAACCCCTCCCATCCTGCCAGGCCCTGCTGCAATTCTGTGTTGTTGCCTTTCCCAGTTTCTTCATAATCCTAAAGTGATCTTCTCATGAAGAGAGCCACCAATACCTGTCTGGGCGCTGCCTGTTGCTATGCCTGACTCCACAGCACATCCCAAAGGAGACACAGGAAAGCCAGGAACACGGGGACAGCTGCACTGCCCCTTGTTACAATGCTGGTGCAACATGAACAGTCACAGGGGCCAGGAAAGGAAGTTATAAAAACAGTAACTGGGAAGAAACATCAGGGAACTGCACCCTCCTCAGTCCTGGGGGTACAGCAGAGAAGAAAATTCCAAAAGAAATATGACAAGTCTCCCATCCAAATACCTTCCAAATAGCAGGATCAGAATGAAGTAGAACCATGAGCTTCCCCTTTCATATTCCCCCAGAAGAAGCTGTTTCAATTCAATTAATCTGGAGGCACACTAAGTGAGTCACACTTCAGCAGGTACCTTCATGTTTGAGGTTAAACCCAGGTCATGCAGTAATTAAGACACTTTAATGGAATTCTCTTGTTATAATAAAACTAGTTTCCAGAGCTGAGTCAGAGCACCTGAAACCCAGGTGGAATTTCTCCCTTTACACAAGAGAATTTCTCCTTTTACAACTCTCTCATGTGAAGAGGTGTAGCTGCATCATTTGATATGAAGCAATACAAGACTGCATATTTTTACAAGGAAGCGATAGGAGAGATTTGCTCATGCTGCAAATCCAAGGAGTCTTCAACACAAAGACAACTCCCTTTTTGCCTTGTTTTGTCACAGTTTCTAATCAGAAGTTTCCCTGGTAGAAGAGGAACAAGGTCAGTTAACAGAACTGCTCATCTTCACAAGAGCCCACCCCTTAATCAGTTAATGAAAAGGACCCCACCAACTGCAACAGAAGTTGGACAAAGTCTCTGGAGTCTGAGCTCAGGAGGAAAACTACCTGAGAGGTGAGGGTAAGAAGGCAGATTCTCCATGCTCACAAAAGAAGACAAAAGCACACCTTATTTAAAACCAACTATTTCCACTCTCACATTTATTTTACCTAAAAACAGTCCTAGCAAATGTGTCTTCTTTCTCTTTCCCAACTCAGTGGCATTGCTGCAAGTACTCCACAGCACATGACTCTGGGGAAGCAGAGGAAGTGTCCCACGACTCAGTCCCATTTCCATAGGAAAAGTTGACTCATAAATCACATCATCCTGGAGATGCTGACACAGGTTTGTAAGGAGCATCCGAATGACAAGTCCCAGGAGCAAGCTGGAGCCACCTGAGGGCTGGCAGGGCTGCCCAGCTCTAGCAGAGCAGGAGGCCCTCCTTCATGGCCAGGCGCTGCCGATGGATCTTGTCCTGCTGCAGCTCCTCGTGGTTGGGGTGCCAGAGTTTCATGACAATCCTCTCAATGTTGAGAGCATAGACTGTGTGTGCAGGGATCACTTCTTTGTGCACCTGGAAATGCATGGTGGGAAACAAGCTGCACACTTGCACACACATTTGACCGTGTTACCAGGGAATAATCTCCCTCTACCACAGGGGTCAGCTCTGCAGAGTGGGGACAAAGGGAGTCTCACAGGGACAGCTGCTCCCTGCCAGCACAGCACAACCACCTCTTACACCACTTGCTAAGGGAGTGCCTGTCAGAGTCCAGCACATCCCTCTGGCTGCCCTGGCTGTCTCGAGACCCTGGCAGGGGGCTCAGAGACCTTGGCATGAAGTCAAAAACATCTGTGGCTTCAACTTTGGCCCGTGGAAGACTGTCAATTTTGTATGAAGAATTACAAGCCACAAGGGTTTGAGTAGTGTGATATTTGAATTAGCACAGGGTGGAAAAGTAGAATTTTGAGATTTTTAGAATGTGACTCAGGGGTTAAGATGAAGGAATTTGGGCATGCCCTAGCCTTCTTCTCCTTCTTCTTGTCCTCCATGTCTTGGTGTGATGGCGACACTTTTCTGTTAGTTTAAGGTAGAGACATACTGTCCAACATAAATGATAGATATTGGTACATTGTTGTAAACAAACTGTACGTAACTTTTGATATAAAAGGTAAACACCACTCAACGGGGCATGTCAGAATGCCATGGCCTCCTTGCTAGGCAGAGCTCAGCAGGTCAGAGAAAGAATGTTATAGGTAAGAAAAAATAAACAACCCTGTGAATGTGATCCAAAGCATTCCAGATTCCTTCTCTGGCTGTGACGGGCTAGGAAACAGACCTTTACACTGTTGGGGTCCCAATAAGCTGACCCCATGGTAAGGAAATAGTAATGTGGTGGCAATCAATAACTGATCATCAAAACCACAGAAATAACAATTCTGACTAAACATGAGATGAATGTTTGATTACAGCTCTGTGGTCGGTATCCACACCTGTGAGACAAAATCCCAAGGCCCTGTTCACAACAGCAGAGGTCATCAAGGGGGAATTTCTAACAAATAATTTTAGACATTCAAAGTAGGCAATGCCCCCACAGCTGCCAAAGAGGAAGGGAACCACAGCCATACATTGCCAATGAAAATTCACCCAGCTGACCTTAAATGCCTCCCCAGGGCTGGGGTGATCACAGCCAACCCACTGCAGTGGCCTGCATGCCAGGACCAAGTATTCCTCTAAGTACCCAGGTGGAACATGAGGAGTAAGAAGGGACATGACAGGTAAGATATTTTGCTGCAGCACTGTCAAAATCTGTCCAGCTCAGTTCTGATATAATCACTGCAGCCTTTCTGCAGAGGAAGAGCTCACCCATCTTGCACAGCTGTGAGATAGGAATTTCCTCATCAGCTCTGTGACCAAGGGGATCAGAACAGGCATTAAACCAGGAGTTAACAGCGGGAAGAAATCAAAGCCAAAGAAGGAAAGAGACTATGGGAAGAGAAAACAAGTCCCCCTCCATGCACATAAATCATGCCTAAGACTAGCAGCTGGCAGCCAGGGCAGCACTGCCTGTGACACGAAGGTGTGCCATGACCAGCTTACCTGCAGTGCCTCAAAGAGGTCATACATGTTGACTGGAGGCAGGGATGCTGGCACAGTGTCCCCAGAGCAGGCCAGGAGCAGGGCTGCCTGCTGCTCAGCATCATCAGGAGCGGGCGGGGGGGCCAGGCTCTGACCCGCCGAGGGCGTCGCACTGCTTGGGGGGCTGGGGGCAGAGCAGGCAGAAAACATCTCAGTCACAAACCAGCACCAGCTGTGGCTGTCATACAGCAGGAGCCTTGCTGCACTGCCCCACCTGATGTGGCCCATATGCACATAAAATTATTTCAGCTCTAATAAAAATTTCTTTTAAATTCCAGTTTAACAAGGAGTGTGGACTGACCCTCAACATGCTTCAGCTTTGCTTAAATGGCCCCAGTTGTGCAACTTTTTGTTACTTGCAGCCAATAGTTTCTACCCAGCATAAAAACTAAGACACACACAACATTGAGCTGAAACACTGGACGTTAGGCAGAGTTGTTTGTAGTGCTACAATCAAATCTTCGAACACCCACGACCTCCTGTCAACTGCTAGAAGCTGCCACAGACGAACAAAACTGCCTTCTCATACACAAACGCTGCATGATGCACTGCACAAACTCTTTGACACTCCAAATTGGAGGACCTCAAAGCCCTGCTAACTAGAAAGATGTGCCACAGAACCATAAACACATTTGCATGCAGGAAATGACAGGATGGCAGTGTCCTGCAGGTCCTCACTGACCTATTTTAATCCTATGGCACAACAGCTGTGCCTCCACAAAGGCAGAGAATTGCTGTGTTACTGATGTTTTCAAAAAGCAGTAATAAACTGCTGGACAAGCAGAGGTAAGGGAGAGATATGTAACACTGTCCCTGCAGTTCTGTGCTGGGAAATCCCCATGTCCTCAACTCCCTGTTTAGTTGTACAATCCTCCATACCAATGCCTTCCTAGTGAGTGAAAATAAAATGCCATCAACACACATAAAAGAAGCAGCTGAGCCATGGAGTAATTCCAAGACTAGAAAAATCCATGTACATTATCAGTGTGCTAACAGCTCCTTACCACTCAATTAAGTTGTTATAAGCAACAACACTGTTCTTCAGATATGGCTGAGGGTTGACATTGCTTCCAAAGGCATACTTGAAATGGCCATCCCTCAGACGATAGGCTTTCCTCCTGGATATCACAGAGGTCAGAATGTCCTTAAGGTGGTTCTGCAAGGAAAACAAATCTTGTGACATGTGCTGATACATTCACTCATGGACAGGAGGGCCTCAACAAATGGCAAGACAGAAGCAGTGCTGCTCTGACCACAGGGACCTGAAGATGGAAGGGAACCAATATCTGGACAGGATGTTTTCATTATCCAACACTTGGATACAGAGAATATGGCACTTTGTGAGTACCATAAACATCAGCCTGTGAACTATATTTTAATATGTGATGTCCTGCTTCAAATGTCAAAGGGGTGTCTTCAATGCTAGGAAATTCCCAACCTCTGATTAAGATTTTATAACTGACACTTGAACTGAAATACACACCCTGAAATGACAGTGAAAAGCCACTCACTGATCTTTTTCATTTGCCTGAACAATGCTGGAGAAAGAATGGTGTGAAAAAAACAAGCAGACAACTTCTTCATTTGGCCTCACTCCAGCTGGGGAACTCAGGTTGGCCTCCACATGCAGAAAACCATCCACACATCAATACTCCAAGCAGTGGCTGTGTTATTCCTGGGATATGTACAGTGATGCACCACCAATGGCCAAAGCCAAACCAGGACTTCACGTGGATCAGCTATCACCTGATCCTGTTCCTTCATGGCCAGGCCAGACACTGTGCCTGTAATAGATTGCTTTTTATAGAACTGGTCAAACTGGCATTCCCATTATGTCCCTGCTTTTAAGGGATAGCATTTTCCACAACAGCTACATCAGCATGCCAGGGTACTGTACAAGTACATCAAAACTAATGCTTGCAGGCAGAAGCCCAGGACTTTACATCTAGGGCATGAGATTCTCCATTCTCACATTACTCAGGGGACAAAAAGGCAACTGGAGAACCATCAGAGCAGCAGGTTTCCACCCCATGCTGGGGGACAACACCCCACACTGCACACAGAGCCTTTTGCTGCTGGCGTTATGAAACCACTGCAGCCCCCCAGCCCAGCCTCACCTCCACAGCATAAACAACGGCTGTCACTGCCTCCTCGGTGACATTGTCCAGCCCATGCTCATAGGCAGTGACAATCATCCTTCCTTCCAGCTGGCCACGTGTTGGGAGCATCATGGTGTGAGAACACAGCTTCAAATCATCATCCTCCTGAGGATCCTTTGCCACAAACTGCTGGGCTCCCGACAGCGGGTTTTGAGGCTGGAACCGGTGCTGTCAGGAACACAACATTAAAGTATAAGATAATATTTATTCAGACCCTTTGGTTCATCAAGGGGACATCCCTTCTCCGCTCAGAAAGCTTACACCTATAAGAAGTCCTTAAAAAATCCTCCCCAATGACTTGTGACTGAAGAAATTGGTTAGTCAGTGTCGGTATCCTTTTACAGGACTTGTCCAGTAGCATCCCCAAACCACCTGAACTTCGGGTATACACAACACACTGCAGCAAGAAATTCTACACACCACATGAAGACTCACCTGCTCTGTACTCCCCACCTGCTAGATTTGTTTGATTCTCCCAGGAGTCTCAAATGTGGTCAGTTACTGTCCTTTTTATCTCCTTTCATGCTACCCAGACCAGTGACTGGACTTTCACATCTCTCAGACACCTTCTATGTTGAAGAGTTCTCGTCTATTTAGTAATTTCTTGTACAAAATGGTATATTTTTACTTACTATCTGTACAGTTACCATCCAGATTAAAACCCATGATCCTAAATTTGTGTGATTGATTCTTACATTTTTCTAATGCTTTAAACTTAGCCCAATTCCAGCACCAATTTCATTCTCCAGTCTCCCTGTGTACTTTCACTACTCTAAGCAGAGCTGTGTTACAGAACAGCCACTGAGATGAACTATGACTGTTTTTCAGAACTGACTTAGTTATTTAGACAAAAAACTCATCACAGAACAGGAATTCATACTAGAAGGTGGCATTTCCCAGGCCATATGTATTCCAACACAAATCCTTGGCTGCATTGTGTCTCAAGCTCCGAGTGTCTGGGATGGCTCCCCAGTCCCCAGATAAAGGAGGGAACAAAGCAAATGTAAATTATTGATCACTGAGCCCAGCCATGTGCCCAGCTCTAACCCACAAGGAAACAGACTCATCACACTCCCTCTACTTTCCAGTGGCTATGGAATGGAGATTGTTGCAAGGCTCTTATGGGGCACCAGGACAAACACTCTTTAAATATGAACAATGAATATGCAGCAAAGTGGATTTCTCACATCTTAGTTTCAGGGGAGAAAGGGGGGCTGCTTTAGTCAAAGGACTGTGGCATTTAACTCAGAATGAAAAACCAATCCACCCACTGTGTGTGAAAGCAGGTTTCCCTCCCCATAATTCTAAAGATTTATGCTTTCATTACAGGAAAGTCACATGCCTGGCAAAAAAGACCTTAAAAATGTAAGCAACTCTCAAGAGGAATGTGGTTTGGGAGAGCAGAAGCCAACTGGAATGGACCTGTGGTCATTCACAGCTGTTATTCTGACCAGTGAGGGAAACACTATGAAATACCAAGGCACTTCCAAGTTCACACTACTCGGGAATTCCACTAGTACCAGAAAAACCATCATAACATGCACTTCATACAGTACTTACTGCCAAGCATTCCTGGACGTGTACAAACACACGCTAGAAATCTGGTGTATCTTAGGGGTAGTGAGTAAAACAAATTCTAAGACTTCCACTACACCACAACTTGCTTTTCAAACTCTCATCTACTTGCTGCTGAACTGAAAAGTTACAGTGAAGTTTTAAGACAAGCAAGGTAACACAGTCTGAATTCAGAAGATCACAATACAGGTTGCAGCTGTGAGCACTGTAATTTGACAGTTCCTAAATACAAGAAGCCTTCAGCTGGACTTGCATATCTTTGGGACACTAGTCTCTGAAGCACAAACAGAGTGCCTAATCAAACTCCTCAGAAGGGCAGTATGCACCTTATCAAATCCAGCCTGTTGAAGAGAGTGCCTCATCCCAAATCTCTGTCACACCAAGCCCCCTCCACACTGCTCTGTAAGCACAGAAACAAGTGCAGAACAGGGGTGAGACAGTACTGGGTGGATGTACAGAGCCGCTGCTGCAAAGTGAACCGGATCTTGCACATTTCTGTGCCACCTACCAGAAGATAGCACCTTTAAAAGGCATTCTCAGATCTGAAACAACTTGACCTTCTGAAAACATTACACCCAGGATCCTGCTTCTAACACTTTGAGAGTTAGAGAATTTTGACTGCCTGAATAAACAGTAAATCACTTGTTTTAAGAATTTGGTAGATGTAAAGTGAACCACAGGCACTTACATCGAACTTTTGGCGAACTGAAGAAATCTTTTTCTTCCCTTTGGGTTTTCCAGGTTTAGTTGCAGAGCCACCTGGCCATGGCAGAGATCCAGCACCTTCTACAAATTGAAAGGAAAAAGAAACCAAAACAAACAAACAAACTCACAAAACACCCACTCAATTGGTGTTGCTGATATAGGGCCAGCATGAAACCCTTAACATTTGGCCACCTATTAAGCTTCAACCCAAAATCAACAGCCATAGCAAAGCGGAAGGTCTTTTGAGGGGAGAACACTTTTGGTAGCCCCTCCCTTCTTTTGTCACCCCCTTGCTACTTTGACTCACTCACAACACCCATGACTTATTGTCCACACACCACACAAAACCCACAGTGGAAGGAGAGAGATAAGCACAGCCTGTAAAAAAATCCAAAAGGAAGGAACAAGTCATTTGTTCCATCAGGAAGGTAAGAGCTTGCCTGGAGCTCTTACCTGGAGTAGGTTCTCCTCTCACCCACTCCTGGATCAGGTCAGATACTAAACCATCTGAATTGAGCAGCCTGACTCCCCAGTTCTCCTTCAGCAAGATTTGTCATGGATCCTTACTAAATATCACAGCTGATTGTTTTGTTACACTGAAGAGAAGGAGAGGAAGGAAGAACTGCAGAGGCCACTGAGCCCAGGAGCAGGATGTCACTAATGTGACCAGTGAGCAAACAGTGGAAAAAATGGTTCTTGTTTAGTAACAATAAATAAATACATTTGGTCATATCATCAGCTCAAAAGTCCACTGAACACTATCTGACAGCTACCCCTACAGCAGGCCAAACCACATCCTGATAATCACAGGCTTGGCAAGGACAGCCTAGCAAATTTCCTGCTGAGAGGTTTACAGTATCTGTGAGCAATTAATTCCTTCAGGAAAATTGGCTGCACTGCACTGGATGTGTGCGTGCTTAGTGCACTGGATGTGTGTGTGCTTGTTGGCAGGGAACAAGCACAACTCAGAGACTCGGCAGCCCTCTCGTGGCTACAGAGCAGCCTGTGCTGTGTGCCTCCAGCACCCTCCTGCCCTGCAAGCAAGCATCCTCTTCCTTTGGAGCACAGCGTGCCCTGAGCATGTCCCACCTCAAGGAGCTTGGCCAGCTCAGCTCTGGACACTTCAGCTGCCCCCGAGGCAGAGCTGGAGCTGTGCTGTCAGGCAGTTCTGACAGCACAGCAATGTCTTGGACATCCCCTGGCCACACCTCAGCCAGAATTTGCCATTTCCTCTAGACAGGGACAAGAAATGACAGCAGCCTTTCCACATCTCACCACCCACAGCCTAGCTAGCCTCACTGAGCACTGACCAACACCCAGCTGTGGTTCTCTCCTGCTCCCACAGTTCTCACCAGCTTCACACCAATCTCTGGGTTTATCTCTGGCTGTCCCAACTATGCTTCATGCGCTGTAATCAAGAATTAACTATGTTCAATTTGCTGTAGACAGGAGCTCAAACACAATTATACCACAGTCCTGTTTGTAAGGAATGAGACTGGCTAGAAGTCCTTAGCTATGGGGAGCTTCCCACACTCCCAACTGGAGCACGAGCACAGTGTTCTCTGCTATGGAAAAAAAAATTCCAACAGGATCAGGCTCAGCTAGGGGATTCAGGTGAAGTTTTTGAATGGTCAGCTTCTAAGAAGGGCTTAGAAACAACCTACACACACAGAGATGGCACATTCTCCCTATATAAAAAAAAGTTGCGTTCTCCCTGTATTAAAAAAAAGGAAGTTTAGTTACATCCTATTAAGAGAGGTGGAAACCCATAGCCTACAAACCCTGTTGCAAAATCCACTGGTCAATTTAAGAAATTAAAAGATAATAAATAAAACTGCCCCAAAAATTGTAAGGCTGGTGTCACTGCTCATTGGTACATCACAGGAGAGGCCCTAATAATGGAGCATAGGAAACCACTGTGGAGAACCACATCAAGTCTCACACAGCTCCTTCACAGCCTCATTTGTGACCAGAGAAAATGCAATGGATGAGATGGAAATTGCAAACACTCTCTTCCCTGATAATAGGTTATAGCTAAGTCTGAATTTTTAAAATACCTTTTTAAAGCAAAATAATATGGTAGGTTTTATATTAAATGGTAACTAAATTTATAGGCTTTGACAGATCTGAAAGATGCAACTTAATTGAATCTCAACGTGCACATTTAACAAGAACTTAACCAAACTCAGCTTAAAACAAGGAAAAGGTGAGATACAATCTCCTATTCCCCACTATAACAAGCCCATAGCACAATTTTTGGTTCCTTTTCCAGGTTTTCGTATTACCAAGCCTGACTTGCACTAGATGAAGAAAGCAAAATTTCCCTCTAGCATTCTAAGAAACCAGTACTTGCCTTCCTGGCCACAAATGACAAGGCTGGGTTGGCTCAGACATGAAACTTCAGAGATGAATGCAGCTTTTATTCAATATTGCTAGCAAAGGAATCAGACCTTAAGAAACCACTGCTGCTCTGCCTTCAAAGATCAGGAAGAGATAAAAACATTTTTTCTAGAAGCTGCCACATCTCTGCATAGCACCAACATGATGGCACCAACCAGTCCAGACAGAGCCTGTCAGGTTTTCCTGACATGCTACATGAGGAAAGGACAAAGATTCAGAGAAAGTCACCGCAGAAAAAAGCAGACAGAGAGAAAACACACATTTCCCACGCCTGTTTACTTGATTTTCAGTTTGGAGGGGGTTGTTTGTTTTAATCTTCTTGCAGGAACAAGGTTTTGGTCAGGTATTCTGCTGACACTTGGTTGATATTCTGCTGACTCTCCTCTGCCAAAAACTCACACTCCCATTTTCTTACTTTTCCTCCCTTCTCAGTACTCTGGAGAGAAGCAAACACAAGCAACCTGAGCCAACTTCCCAGCTGCAAGCCCCCTAAGCAAAGCCTGTGGACAAACCTGATGAAATAAAATGCTCCTGTTACTCCATATGAGTTCTAATTCACTGAGCCATCTTTTAATTGGCTTCACACTGCCGCCAAATAAATCCTTACATCACTAACTCGGGTGTTTGCAATTGTCTCAGTTTTGTTGCTAACATTAAGAAAAGAGGGAACAGTTCCAGCAAGATACATATTAACTCAAGAAACCTTGCTCCCTGAGTGCTTGCAACTGTCCAACAAACAAGGTCAGCTTAGTAAGCAAGTCCATGCAAGGTTAAGGAAGGATGTAAACCAGAGTCCCTGTCAATGGAATTTTTGGGGGAAGAAAAAATGCCAGTGTGCTGGTTTGGAGTGGAAGATGGTTAATTTTTCCCATGGTAGCTTGCACAGGACTGTGTATTGGATGTGTGCCCAGAACAATGTTGGTAACACAGGGATGTTTTCATTCCTGCAGAGCACAGAGATAAGGGATTTTTTGCTCCTCACCCCATCCCACCAGCTAGGAGCCTGGCAGTGCAGAAGGACCTGGGAGAGGACACAGCCAGGAGAGCTGACCCCAAATGGTCACCCTTCACATCAGAATAGACAACACACCTCCCTGCCTCTGCACCACCAAGCCCTAAATGTCCCACGGCAGAAAGGCTGTGCAACTGGCACTTCAAGTTGTTTGGGTGACCAACAGCCTGAGCAGATGAGAGGGGGAAATGCAAAGCATCCTCAAAAAAGGTGACATTCACCAAGTGCTCCTCTAAATCCCAGGTGGAACCGCTGCTACAAGAGGCAGCAAAATTGGGATCAGATGGGTTTGTTTGCATGGTTCAACATATACTACAATCACTCCTAAAAAATACCTTCCCCAAGGGTTCTTATTCCAACACAGTACAGTATCAAGTACAATTTTACCACGGACCACATGGTTACTTTTTTAATACAAAATAACATTTTAAGAATGGCTCTTTCCCCTTATCTCTCACACCAAGGTGGAAAGTACATGCATCAGTAACCCTTTTGATGTTGTGCCAAGTGCCTCAAAAACACTTCCTTAAAGTTACTTATTTCCATGAATCATGAAGTAAACACCTTCTACCCAAAATATAGTGGTAGACACTAAAGCCTGTTCGCTTTCCGTTCTTACATGGAGAGGGGAAAAAAAAGAGAAAAAAAACAAACCACAATACACCAAAAAAAAAAATAGCAGGTGTCAGACTGGCATCTAGGGGAAGAAAAAGAAATCTAGATGTTAAAAGCTAGTATTCCACTGATACTATATTTTCCTGGGCTTGCATGTACAACCCTACACCACACACAGCTGACAGGAAGATCTTGCCTGTAAGAGATCTACCAATAGCCCAAAAAGAGGCACCTCAGCACAGAGCTGCTCCCAAATCATTGGGAGACTCTGCACTGATCTGTGGACAGCACAGCTGAGCTGCTGGAAGGGACTAGCAAAATGCACTGTTAGCTCCAGAGCACCAAATCACACCTTTAAGACCACACACTCATGAATAAACGGACTTTTTTCAAGCTGGCTTATGCAATCGGTGGACACAGCCAGCCAAAGCTTGCCTGACAGCCCTGGAGGTGACCAGCACTGGCAAAGGACCCTGGCCAGCTGGCTCACCACCACATGCTGCCATGACCTGCTGAACCACTACAACCAGGCTTCTTCGAAGGCTCTGAGGGGAGCAGCTGCAATGGGACAAGAGAAAATGACCTCCAGGGACTTGAAATTAAAGAAGGTCAGGCAGGAAATAAGGAGCATATGGAAAGCATCTGTGGAACAGCACCCTTCTCTGTGCTAGGGCTCCAACCTTCAACACAATCCTAAACAGCCTTGGAAAGGGTCACCTGGGAGAGTTTGCTGAGGAATCCTGACCAGGCAGCTGCATGCCATGACTAAGTGGCATAAGGAGACTAGATAGCAACATTCAGAACAGCTGAGCCCAGAGCACGCACACAGGAATAACAAACCCCAACCTCAGCCACACGGCAAGAGGCTCTAGCCTACCACTGCCTCTGAGAAGCAAGACCTCTGAGCTGTGAACTGCACCCCAACACTCACAGCAGCTCACTGCTGAGCTCAGAGCACAGGCACTGCCTCCCTCCCCTCCTCATTTAGACTCAGCTGCTCCAGGTGATCATCAGGGGAATGACTGTTCCTGTGTGCTCTTTTTATAATCCAGCTGTAATTAATTACTCCAAGTTAAAAGCAAGGAGCAGCAGATTCAGACATAAACCTACTGGTTTATGTGAGTCCAGACCCCTAAAGGGAACAAGTTTAGGGCAAAAACACAAGGTGTTTTTGCAGTTTAATCAAGAGCAAACAAAGCAAGTTTGGAGGTGGGGGCAATTAACATTTAATTAGCACAGCTGGTAGAGTTCAGGACCAGCTCCAACACAAAAACCCATGGGTAGCCATGAATTTTGCTGGCATTATTTTCTCTAGCTGCAAAAGGCACCTCAGTAACAGGTATTCTCTCAAAAACTCATCTCTCAGGTCTCAGCCCATCTGAGCTGTAACAATTTTCTCTCAATTCCTACACAGCAGTTCCACGTCTTGAATTGCAGCTCAGTTGCTGTTGCTACCACATCTCTGGGTTGAGAGCTCTTTTGAAGACCAAACAAAACATACCTGCAACCCTGAGGACAGCCATTCTAGACACTGACAAAGGTAAAATATAATTCTACATGCTCACAGAATTAAAATGTTAACTATCTGCAGATGACTGGGTTAATAGGTCAGCCAAGGCTCCCTGTAAGCACTTTTCTATCAGATATGTACTGGAAATGAGGATGAGTCAGGAATGCTCAGCTCTCCACAACGACCAGAGGAGAGCAAAGCATATCACAGAGAAGGCTGCATTTGCCTTGACCCTTCAGCTGGCAGCAGACACCAACCCAGAAAACAAATCAGATTATCACAGGCAGCAATCCAGCATCAGCCTCTAACCACACACAGCTTAGTCATAGAAGCATCTCTGCTGAAACATTATTTTGTTACATTTTTACCTATGTGGCAAAAAAATAACCCATTAATATTAAGGCTGAGAACATTGGGGTACTTGTGCACACATACCCCAAACACACAAGTGGCAGGCACAGTGTTACACCAAGTGTTTAATGAGGCTTCTCAGGACTTACCTGGGGCAGAAACCAAGATCTGGCATCGGGTGAGAATAGCCAGGAGGAAATCGTTGTGAGAGTGGACTGTAAAGAGACAGAGCTTGTCACCAGCACTTCCATGCCCAGAGGCACCCCCTCAAAGCCATCCTACAGTAGGTCCCTAAGCTATCCCACTGTTGTGTTCTCCCCACCTGCTCAGTCAATTTTCAATTTAAGGTTTTTTTGAGAGTTTTCTTCTACTGGGCTAAGAATCTACAACTGTGAGAACAACACAGAAGATAATACACACAGCACAGAAATAACGAGGTCACTTCTCAGTGTTACACACACACAGAGCTGCTTGACAAGTCTGGTGTATTCAGCCAGTCAGAGGAGCAGCTGTCCCTCCTGCCATGCAGGCACCCCACTGCCGTGCTTTTGGTCTTGCTACAAAATACACCAAAATGAGAACCACAAAGAAGAAGTCAACTCAAATAGGTTCTAACAAAACAGAACTTCATTGCAGAGGTTTTTGGGAACATATGAGTAAATGTGCACAAGAGAAAGTGAAAACAACTTCACAGGCAGGATCAGAGGGCTACAGGATCCTCCTTGGAGTCTGAGCACCAAAAAACTCCCTACAGGGATCACAAACGTGGAAGCCAGGAGCCCCCAGAATGAGCTCAGCAATGCTCACCCATGTGTGCAGACACACAGAGAAGCAAGGACAGAGGATCCTCACCCTTCAGCACCCCCACCTGCCAGTCCCAAAGGCCGGGAAGGACCTGCCTGCTGCAAATGCACCCCGGTGAATGCAGGGCTCCCTGCCCTACTCCAGCGACAGCCAAAGGCAAAGTGCAGAAAGGACTGTGCCTCCACAGTGACATCAAAAATGGCTTTTTGGTTGCTCGAACGGCATGTTTTACATTTTTATCACATTTAGACAAATTGTCTGTCAGTGCCGGCGTTACACAGGGGCTTCCCCATGCAGCCAGGGCACCTCCCACCACGTTAACCCCATTGCTGCCGGAGCCCTGGCCTCTGCTATTTCCTCACAAGCACTCTCCCCGCTCGGGAAGCACCGCGGAGCCTGGAGGAGCTTCCCAGACCTGGCAGGGCAAGGCAGGGAAACGTACCGCTGGTGTTATTTGATTTTACCATTGTCTTGCGTGAGAAGCCTGCGCGCTTCCAGGTCAAACTCCTCCTTACTGATCTTCTGCTTGAACCAGAGCTTCAGGTTGGCCCAGTACCTCAGGAAGAGCAGGGAACCACAGAATCAATGCGTTTGGAAAAGACCTCCGAGATCATCGAGTCCAACCTCTCAACGCCACCGCGTCAAGCAGAGCGCGGCTCTTTGCCGGAGCACCTCCGCTGAGGCGCGGACAGCGCGGCGGAGCGCCGCTCCCACAGCGCCGGGGCTCGGCAGGGACGCGGCAGGAACGCGAGGGGCCGGCCCAGCCCCGCACCCCCCGCTCCCCGAGGGCACTCACTGCTTCACGTTCTCGCCCAGCGCCTCGCTGAGGCTCTTCTTGGCCGCCTCCAGCTCGCTCACGTAGGTCGCCATCACGGCCGCCGCCGCCTCGCGCCGTCACATGGCGGAGGGGGCGGTGGCGGCGGCGCGCAGGCGCAGAGGCCGCACCGGGGACCGCACCGGGAGCCGCAGTCATGCCGGGGCTGCTGCTGGGGGATGAGGCGCCCGACTTCGAGGCGGACACCACTCAGGGCCGCATCCGCTTCCACGACTTCCTGGGAGACTCGTGAGCGCTTGGGGATGCGGCGGGAGCGGGAGCGGGGCAGGGTGGGATGTCCGCGCCGCCGGGGATCCCGGGACCGCTCACCGCGTTCCTTCCTCCCTTCCTTCCGCCCGGTGAGTCGTGTGGCACCGCCGGGCACGCGGCTCGCTCCAAATGTGGGTTTTTCTCTGGAAGAGGGGCCGGACACGGCGGGATTCCCGGGCAGCGTCATCCCCGGAGGGCGAGCCGAGCTCCCGGGGAGGGAGAAGGGCAGCCCCGCGGCACGGCAAAGGCCGGCTTGGAGCGGCGGCCGGCCCCGGGAGTGCCGGAGGCCAGCTCGGTGCCGCGCACGGGTGCGAAGGGGCGCGCTGACACCGGGCTCGGTCCGGCCGGGCGCCGCTCCCGCAGCACCGGGCACGGCGCCCTCGGGACTCGCTCCCGGCAACGCTGGCAGGCTTGAATCGGCCCCTTCTGTCGGCATTGTGAGCTTGAGCGGAGGGCGGAAAAAAGAACCCTCTGAGCTTCATCCCTTCCGAAACTGGCTGTTCCAGCCTGCTCACACAGCGGGCACCTTCCTCCTCGCTGCTTCGCTGCTGTTGGCTCAAGGAGTGTAGCTATTGTCTGAAGGGCAGTGGCCAGGTAATGCCCCATAAATTCCTGGTGACCCGTGGCACTCACGTGGCTCTGGCAGAGATGCAGGGACCCTCACTTGGTCCCTCCAACTGCATTCCCAAGTTTTTCAGACGAGACTTTCCCCCTGCTGTGGTGCTGGGGGACCGGATGAAAATCGGTGCAGCAGGATCTGTGTGATTGGAGCTGAGAAATTGTGGAACGAGTCTCTGGCAGGGAATTTGAAGTGCTGGGGGTGGCTTTGCTGTAGTCCCTAGGAAGTCCTGAGAGCCTTTTTGCTCCAGCTCATCCTGCTGGGCTGCATTGCTGCCTTTCTCTGTGCACTGCTTACCTTATCTGGGAGGTGTAGGATTAGTGTTTGCCTGCTCTTAAAGACTCAAAATCCATTGCTGCCAAGCTGTGGGCAGCAGCGAGGTGGCTGTGTCATTGTAACAGGAGCCACAATGTGATGTTAACTTCTGGCCTCCCCTGCTAGTTGAATAATTCTTACCTTTTAATGAAGTGCAGCTCACAGCAGCAGCTGGGTTAAGGGTTTGGTCCTGTCCCATTCTTTTGAGTTGCATCATGTACATTTGTGTGTGTCTCCTCGTGGAGATGAGGTGCAGGGGTAGTGGCCAGGCTCGTGAATCAGTGACCATCTCTGCCATAACCTGGGCTGGCCAGGCATCCCCCCACACATGGGGTCTCTGGGCTGCACTGTACCCGTGGCTCTCCCAAACTTCCTCACACGGCACGGTGTCCACGTCCATGTGAAGAACCATGGGCTATTCCAGCATCTGCTGTAGGATCCTGGAGGGAGAGCAGGGAGCGTGGTGCAGGGAGTTTCTCAGAACAGGGCTTATCTCATGGAAGTTTCTAGTGATAGGGAAGGAAGAGTTGCTGGAGCAGGAATTCCTTATCAGACAGACGAGCTGTTCCTGCGCTCCACGCCATGCAATCTGCACAGCTTTGTGTCTGCGGCACAAACCAGAACGACACCTGACCTTCACAGCAGCTGCTTCCTTCCCCTTGCAGGTGGGGCATCCTGTTCTCCCACCCGCGGGACTTCACCCCCGTGTGCACCACGGAGCTGGGCCGGGCAGCACAGCTGGCCCCCGAGTTCAGCAAGCGCAACGTGAAGATGATCGCGCTCTCCATCGACAGCGTCCAGGACCACCTCTCCTGGTGCAAGGTACGGCTCTGGGGAGGCCTCGGGGCAGCCTGTGCTGCTGCCTCGCTCCAAAGGCTGCAGGAGATGCCCAGGCAGGCTTGGAGGTACAAGTGTCACATCCCAGAGTGGGGCGGTGCTGAAATTCAGAGTGGGAATGGGGAAGGTCTTCTCCGTCTTCGTGGAGCACCCCACAAAGTCCAGGGTCGTCTTTGCACTTTGATGCTGATGCCTTGTGAAGGCTGACCTAGAACAGAGGAGCTAAAGACTAAAGTAGGGATTTATTAAAGGGCCTCAATGGATGCACCTTGGGCAGCACAAGAGCCCAGCCAGGGTTACACCCAAGATGGACCCAAAATGGTCACAAAATTCACAATCAGTCATGGCATCTCTCACTTTTGTAAGTTCTGCTCCATTTGCACATTGGAGTTCATTGTCCAATTCCAGCTCCAGCCCATGAAGTCTCACCCTGCTTGTTTTTCTCTCTTCAGCCCACGTTATTTGTGCTCTTGGGCATGAGATTTGGATCATTTGTCCTTGGTCCCCAGCTAGAGAAGGAATTGTTTTGTCTCCCTGCTCTGTGCAGAGAGCTCACCATCCCCTAATATGAAGCCCAGACCCACACACTAAAGCAGTAAAGATTTTGAAAAATATAAAAGCTAAAACCTGAGGCATCAGTACAAGAGGAAAACAATATTACTGCAGTCCCACCACTAGCTGAAAGGGTTAAAACATGTGGAGGTGATGCCAGAATCTTAGAGGAAAGCAGCCTACCCACAGACCCTCAGGAAGTTCTGTAATAAAACAGGAAAGGAAAAGAGGCATCAGAAGTGAGGAGAAAATTGCAGTTCATGCTCAGGCACGGAGGAGAAAACAGGGGACAAACAGACATTTTAAATATAAAACCACAAATAGGAGAACATGAGGGAGCATTAAAAAAAAGATGGAAATGGAATAACTCGGTGAGGGAACTTGCAAGGAACTAAAGAAAAACTTCAAAGGCAGCCTGTGTGTGCTACCAGGGAGAGTGGTTCCAGGACTAGAGGTGGTAGGGATCTAAAATCATATTTCAGACAGAAATGGCCAGAGTGTAAACATCCTTGGGTGAATTACCTCCCATTCTCTTTAACTCTGAGAATTGGGAATATTCTCACATATTTTCCAGAGGTGAGAGGTGCATGCAATAAGAGGCATTAAAGGTGAGAATTTTCTACGTTCAGTTGGACATTACTTCATGACTGACTGGCTTTAGAAATTAGCTAATTGCCTTATTGCTTAAATTGACCTTTGTACCTGAGTGATGCATGGCCAATATCCCAGCAAGCCTCAGAAGGGCCTGGGAAAAGCAATGTACAAATCCCAATAAATGAGATTTCTCTGCTGCTCAAACTGGCTGAAACCAGCAGTCAAATTAGCAAATAACATGTCATTAGAACAGAAAGTTTGTGTTGTGCTTTTGTAAGGGAGACTCATCTGCTGGTTGGCTAAAGCTGAAACGTTAGGGTGTTGCTGACTTCTGCAAAGGCTTTGAATTTGCAAGCAGCTTTTCCATGAAGTCAGCTCTGTGAAGGGCAGGCTCTTTCTTGCAGGAAAGCAGGAACTTGTGTAAAGGGAGGGAAGGGCTGAGCTCTCAGGCCTGCAGGGATGTGTGGGGTTCGGCAGACTCAGGTGAAATGAAAAAGACATGAACAACGAGCTGACTCTGATGATCCTATGGAATTATCCACACAGCACAACCTCAGGTGAGACCAGGAGAAGTTGCAGAGCAGCCTTGATGCTGGCTGAGGGGAGGCAGAGCAGGAAAGCCTTCCAGAAAAAACACAGAGAGGCTTTGAAGCTGTGGTGAGCTTTCTGTGAGGCTGGGAGAAGCCATGGAGACAGAGGTTTGGAAGTGTCAGATCAGCACCTGTCAGAAAGAAACAGGTGAAAATCTCTAGAGCTAAAGATCCAATTGGTGAGGACAAATCCACAGAAGGCTGGAGTGTTCATGTAGCCTGTGTTTCACTGGATTGAACTGAGAAGACACAGGAGTGAGCAAAATTTTGGGCAGAACCCTCTGTGCAGCATTCCCAAACACACCTCTGCTTTCTGTCTGGGTGAAGCTGCTTTTACCTGGAGCACAACCTGCAAGGAAGCAAGTGGGCAAGAGGGGTGCTGAATTCCTGCATGAAACAATAAAGAAACTTCTGCTTGCCCTGCTGCCCAATTTCAGTGGGCAGATGAGATCTGCCTGGAGAGGTGGGGCCAGAGGGCAGCCAATAATCCTGGTGTGCAGCTGTGCTTTCCAACCAGAGATGTCAGAGCTATTCTTAGCTATCCCTAGCCATGACACAGAGGCTTGCTCCAGCACTGGGAACTCTAGCTCAGCCAGGGATGGATCCCACCCTCCCACCTCCCCAGGCAGGAGGTTGCTGCTTCTCCAAGGGCTGGCTGGCACCTGCTGTGCCTGTCAGAGGTTTCAGTGCTCTCTTTGGCCACTGGTACCTGCCTCTTGGTGAGTTGGTGCTGAATCAATCCTTCCAGTGATGTGTGGTTTCAGCTTGGACTCTGGAAAGAAAATTAGTCATTAGGGAAGGGAGTCATGGGTGTTTTATTGCAACACAGAGTGTGGTTTGTGAGGCTGTTTTCTAGAGCTCCCCAGGCCAGGGAATTACGTGCATTTTGGAACAAGTTACACTCCATAGGATTCAGATAATACTTCTCAGAAACTCTCCTCATCCTTCAGCCCTGCTCTAAAGAGAGGTAGGGGGTGGGTCTCATTTGCTGATGTCCATCTGCAGCCTCCTGTGACTCTGTGGAGCATTCAGCTGCATTTCTCCTCATCTGAACTCTCCAGCTCTGCTTTCCTTCCCTGCTCTGCTCTGCCAGGGCAGGTTTGCAGGACAGCAGAACTGATTCCCTGCTTCCTTCCGAGGCAGGCCTGACCACAAGCCAGCTGAGATCAATGGCCCCTTTCTGCAGAGCCGTGGTGACACAGAAAGGCCTGGGGAGAAAACAAGCAAAGAGCAAAGCTGGAAAGGAAGCATGTGGCTATGTGTGCAGCACTTGACCTGCTTGCAGCATCCTGAGCAGCAGGGGCAGGACTACAGCCCCTTTTGTCAGCCATGGGGGGC